GAGGAGGGAGACAATGTTATACGAATGTATCTTAGGGTGGATACATTTGAACAGATACAAGTGATAAGACAAACCATGGAGAGATCAAAGGTTGGGCATTGAGACATGAACACAGCACATACAAGTGTTTATATTGCCATTAAAGGGTGGTCACTTTAGAAGCATACAAAGTACCTGTAATTTTACAATTTAAAAAAGTCTTATTTTCATAATTGTCATAATTTATTCTGAAAGATGTGGTAAGAGCTGTTTAGGGGTGTATCTGTAATCTTTCCCCTTATATACGGTAGCACAGTAGAGAGAGCTAAATTTCTCTTAATCATACCTTTCTCTTTATATTGGCCTTAAAAAATTTAGATGTATGTGTACAAATATTTTGTTTGCATGTATGTACACCACATGCATGCTTAGCTGCCCTCAGAGTTCAGACGAGGGCACTGGGCCCCCTGGAACTGAAGTTACAAGAGTTGCGAGCCAGCATACAGGCGCTAGAAACTGAACATGTGTCCTGTGTGAGAGCAACAAGTGCCCTAAACCACGGAGCCACCTCTTCAGCCCTATGTTGTTTTTTGAAAGAGTGGAATTGTCCCCAACATTCCTCCTAAGGGCAGAAAAAAAGAAGTCTTTTAATTTGCTGTTTTAAGAGTATTTCTCAGGTGAAAAGCAAAGGTATGCATCTGGTGACAAGTCATCTAGAAGTAAATTTGTAGAGTTATCACTTGGGCTTTTGATTCTTTTTTTTTTTTATCTTAATGTTATTGCTTCTAATGCCTACTATGTGCCTCAAACATTTTTTTTTAAAAGTTTAAAAAGAATAGGTCACCAAAATTCCCAGCTGACTGGTAAACCCATAAGACAACTGACAAATAAACAAACCTATTTGATTTCTTTCCATTAATCATTGTTATATATATTGGGAAGACCCAGAATATAAATATCTGTTGTTCCAAGTTTGAGTTCTGCTCTGTCTCTTGGGGTATCTAAGTGCTGCCACATACTAAGCAGTGACGAGTGAAGTAGAGTCCATAACGTGGGGTGACCCACCTACTTGCCCCACAAATATCTATTTTAAAAATTACAAAAGATAACTGTTTGGCCTCATGGAATCTAAAGAAGGCCTTTCTATAGCCCAGGAGAATTAAATGATTACTGTATAGTCTGATGCCTCCTTGTTCATCTTTTTAGTTTTAGCTTCACCTCCTGTAAGGCACTCTTCAGTTATCTTGGCTTTGTATTCTTCTAAAATCAACCGGTGCTGCTTCTGAGAACATACACATCTCCAAATTTTAACTGGCTAGCTGGCTTTTCTCTCACCATGCCAGAAGATGATTGAAAGGAAGATTGGGTAGTAAACCATATTTTCTGCCTGTAATATAGCAGCTGCCATATCACTAATGTTAAAGTCACATTTTGTTTTAGTAAATAAAATTATGATAAATTACATAGTATAATTTTTAAAAAGACTACACAGGCAATTATGTTTTGCTCAAACAATAGAAAAAGCCTGAAAAGGTGACTTCGAGAATAAAAGCATTTGTTGCTATTGTAGATGATCTGGATTTGGTTCGTAGCACCCACATGGTGGCTAACAACTATCTTTAACTAGTTCCAGGGGCTCTGCCCTCTTGACCTGCAGTCATCAGTCATGCATGTGGCATACATACATACATACTACATACGTGCAGGCCGAACACTCATCTACATTAAAAAGAAAGAAAAAGTCATAACTATACCTTTCATTATAGTCCTCAGGAGAGCGAGGCAGGTAGATCTCTGAGTTTGAGGCTAGCATGGTCTACATAGTGAGTTCTAGATCAACCAAGACTACATAATGAGACCCTATAGTGACTCTCAAAGGGATGGCATAGGAGTTGGAAAGAGTTCAGTGGTTAAAAGTACTTACAGCTCTTCCAGAGGACAATCCACTGTAATTCCAGCTCTAGGAGGACCTGACATCCCTAACCTCCCACCCCGCCTTCACAGGCACCTGTACACACACACCACATAAATATAATAAAAAATAAATCTTAAAAAGCAGAAGCAGCTGCTGTTACATTAAACATACCTTTTAGAAGCTAGGCAGTCTTGGCTAAATTAGTTACTCTCTATGTCATTTTTCTCTCAGGCAGACCAATGATGTCTGTTAGACTCTACAGATGAAACAGGCTAGTCAAAGGAATTTGACTTTGTCAATGCTGCAATTTACAAATTTAAACTCAAGCTTTTTGACTAAAAAGCCTTGGTATCTGTCTTCCAAAACAAAGAAGTATCCAGATTTTCTGAAGTAATATTCCTTTGTACTTACAAAATATGTAACGCATTTTTATTTCTATTGCTTCATTTTAAAACCGATCAATACAAACATAAATTACTTTCTGAAAGAATAGTCCAAGGAGGGAGGTTCCATAAAAAGACTGCCTTTGAGCAAGGAACAACAGAAGACACTCTCAGAGGATGGACAGGAAGTCATGTGTACTCCTTGTGAAAGAAGGCATTTCTGGAACTAAGTGGCTTTTTCAATTTTGAGATGCAATTCAAGTAGCATTGCTAGGGGAGTGTTTGTGAGCATTTCTCATTTCACGAGGAATGTTTGACCAAATCTGGACTTAAGTCAGAATTCTTGCGTAAATGGCAGCATAATTCTTGTTTTTCATTTAAAGGTAAGAGATTTTGATTTGTCTGAAGTTTTCCTGCAGCATATCATTAGAGGAACATAAGTGTGATCCCAAGTCAGCTGACTCAAGGTCTCATGCTGTTTCCTCTTTACTGGGCAGATGATCATGTATCACAAATACTATACAGGGAATACCACACTGGGGAAAAACTTAGTCTGGGTGATGACTTCATTACCATGTTTATTTGACTGTATGTGTGTGTACACGTCGCATACTTGCAGGACCCCACAGAGGTCAGAATAGCCATTAGATCTCCAGGAACTGGATTATAGACCATTGTGAGCTAGCATACGGGTCCTGGTAATTATACTCATCTCCTCTGTTAAGAACATTAAATTCTAACTACTGAGGCAGGGCCTAAAGAATTTTGTATGTGTATATCTGTATGTGTGTTGGGAAAATCTTGTTCTTAGTGCTAGGAAGATAGTTCAATTGGTAAATGTGGTGCAAGGATGAGGGCCCAATTCAGCAGTTTTCAGCATACACCCACTAAAAAGTCAGGTGAGGCACCATGTGCTTATGGAGGCTGAGACTGATGGTACCTAGAGCTCTCTGGCTAGCCAGCCTGAGCCCAGGTCTCAGTGAGTAACACCCAAGATTCCTAATGTCTACACCAGCTTTGTTATATTTTAGCTAAAGATTGCAAATTGTGTGTATGTGGTATGTAATCCTGTAGCATCTTCAAAATATTAGGAATCACTCCTTATGTTGCCATACTCAGCGAAGTTCAGGAGTTGGCTTTCCCTGCCTGTGTTTTTATCTGGACTCAACCGTCCTCAAAACTTGCTTTCCAACTTCCTTTTGGTATATATGCTTTATCCATATTGATCTATACTTTACCTACATTCTCTACAGTAGGGCCAGTTTCTCCTTTGTTCCCCATACAGTGTTTATACCTTAATTGAGCACTTAACATCATGTTCTGTGTATTTCAGTTGGGTAAATCAGCAAAAGCTCCTTAAAAATAGAAAACAGTAGCGTGTGTAACTTGCGGCTTTTATTCTCTAGCTTTAAAAACAGGACTGTTCCCATGGGAGGAATGCAATAAACATTCAGTACATAGATGTTCATTGACTTTCAAGCCTAGAATTTAGTTTCTCGTTCTACGTGCAGTCTTCCCCCGATTTAATATGTTAGAACAACAAAACACCATTCTTCCTTCGATTTTCACTTACTTCCTTTTGTCCATAGGATGAAGTGTATTTGTTTTCTTGACATTCAGGTAGAGACCCATAAATTAGTATCATATATCTTTGCATTCTTATTTCCTATTGTTGCCCTAACATAAGCTTTTATACCAGCCAAGCTGGTCTGGTTGCTGTTCCTGAATGTTTTATTCCCATTCTTTTGTTGTTGACCTATCAACAACAGGGTGCCTTTCCTAGTTTGTGCAAATACTACCTGACCTTCAAGGTGGCCTCATTTAACATTGTAGTCTTTGAACCACATCTGCATATGAGTTGCCACTTTATTGCTGAATGACCTATGACTAACTTTGTGGTTGATTGGGGGTGTTATTTAACTTTTCACACATACAGCATTTGTTCTGCCACCCTAATATAATCATAATAATTACTAAGGTAAATCAGTAGTCTCAACTTTAGAGCCCATGGTCGACTTTCCTTTTTGGTTATTGTTTTATGTGTTGTTGTTGTTTTTCTTTTCTTTTTGTTTTGTTTTTTGATTTTAGGCAGGGTTCTTTGTCGTACAGGCTGGTATGGACCTTTCTTTGTAGACCAGGCTGGCTTCAAACCTTTTGACAGACCTCCTGACTGTTTCCCAGGTGCTGGGAATACAACTGTGAGTCACAAGGCCAAGCTTCTATTTTCTGTTTAGATATGGGCTGTTGTCTAGAGTTTTCAGATTTTACTTCTCTAAAGGTAGAGGTTGACTTAAGGGTTTTTTTTTTCTTTTTTTAAGATTTATGTATTTTTATTTTGTATGTATGAGTTTTGCTTGCATGTATGTGCAGCATGTGCATGCCTGGTGCCTGAGGAGGCCAGAAGAGGATGTCAGCCTCCCTGCCTCTCCAAGAACTGGAGGTACCTAGTAGTTGTGAGCCACCATGTGGATTGAACCTGGTCCTCTGCAAGAGCAAGTGATCTTAACCACTAAACCTCTTTCAAGCTCCTGAACTAAATTTTCTTAACTGGTTCTGTGTTCTACTAAAAGACAAGGGAAAATGCCCCCAGGCAAATTTTAAAGGTAGGTTTTAATGTAAAATACACAGTTAGTTACACTATAAAAAGGTCTATGATTAAAAATCAATCAAGGGTGGGGCTAGAGAGATGGCTCGGTGGTCACACGCACTTGTTCCTCTTTCAGAAGACCTGGATTCAGTTCCTAACACGGTGACTCACGACTGTCCATAACTCCAGTTCCAAGGAATCTGACACCCTCTTCTGGCCTCTTGCAGGTACCAGGTATGAGCACATACATACATTAAGACAAAACACTCAAAAGATTAAAAATAATGAATAAAGTGTTGGAAAAATTGTGACAGTATGTCACAATTTAAATTGCTGCTTAGAGCAGCCACATGAAGGTGGCGTTTGAATAGAGTTCTAAAGGAGGGTCTGGGCTAGGTAACCTAAAAGAAACGTTCTTCAGACAAAGCCTTCACAAAGCTCTGAGGCTTTATGGAATGAGTCAGAATAATTGGAGAGGAAGTTAGAAATAATGGGTGAGGATATTAATTTTAAAGGGCTAGCTAGATAAATCAGAAAATTCTAGTTTTTTATAGAATATGAATGTAAGCATTCATTGTAGTTATTATAATGGTGGCTTATCTAAGAATGAGGTATTTTAAACTAAATTTTAAGAATTTTATGTTAAGCCGGGTGATAATGGCAAATGTCTTTAAGTCCCAGCACTGAGAACGCAGAGGCAGGTAGAGCTCTGAGTTTGAGGCTAGCCTGATCTGCAGTGAGTTTCAGAACAGCCAGGGCTACAAAGAGAAAAACCAAAGTGTGTGTGTGTGTGTGTGTGTGTGTGTGTGTGTGTGTGTGTGTAATGTTACACATTATTTTTAAATGGTATTGTAACTGCTAATTATTTCGTTTTAAGAGTTTGTAATCATGATTTACTTTCTTGCTCTCCACCCCCTCTCTTAGGTGAAATTAACACAATGGATTTCTCCAGGCTACCCAAAATACGTGATGAAGATAAGGAAAGCACATTCGGTTATGTACATGGAGTGTCAGGGCCTGGTAAGCAATATGTAGTAATCATCTAAGAGCAAGCATGTCTCACTTGTGGTCAGCATCTTCTTAAGGTGCCCTGGGGAGAAACACAGGTTTCTGCTGACCCACATAAATGTTTTGTTACTTTAAGATCTCATAGTGAATATGAGAGTGAAGTAATATGGCATTGTAATGGTTCATCCAGCACTAATCATGTACATTTAATGGTCTGTCATTGAGATGCAACTTTACGATACCATGCTTGTTAGGTAAATAGAGCTTAATATTGTTAAATTTGAACTTGAAAAACCTTTAAGGTTTATAGCTTTGAATGCACAGTGCCTTTTGTATAGTAAATGTTCAGTTAATGTCTAGCGATTTGACTTGAGCTTTAATAATGATCTTAGGGCATTTCTTAGGAATGATACCTATTCTTCCTTATGTTCATATGTCCATCTGAATGATTTCTCCAGTGATCTCTCAGCTGACTACAAGAGAGAAGTCTCATGACCTGACACTGAGAATAGAAAGTAGTTGTAAATTTTATATCCACTTCATCAAACCTTGGAGCTCTGATTTTAAATAATTATCTCATTTCAGTATTCACTTTTTTTTGTTGAATATTCTGACTAAAAATCTGAATTACAATTTAGAATTGCAATCTGTTTGTTGATATTAAAATCCATTTTTCCTTTAAGTTTCATGCTGTAGTTTTTGTCTTGTTCTAATTATAGTGAAGGTGATGACACCTTTTTGGTGTATATGCAAAATGAGGGGTTTAATTGGTGTGTTCCACTTTTCTCTCTCCAAGAGCTAAGTGAGCTCCAGCTCACTGGCAAGAAGAATAAATATTTCACTATTTTTTTTTTTTTATCTCTTGTGATCACATGAACAGTTTCTCCTTAGTGATACGCAAAACATGAGAACTTTTAGGAATAGAGCAAAGGAACAGCATCAGAGAGCTTAGGTAAAACTGTTGTGTGAAAATGTGTAGGCTACTGTCCTGGAGTTGATTTCCAAGTACTTATTAATAGAGAAGTGATATTAATTATCTGATATTTCAGACCATCTTAGTTCTTTATTTAGATACAGAAGTAAACAAGAAATGAACAAATCTTCAGTTTCTAAAGCAGGATTAATTAAACATTCTTTTTTACTCCAATAGTCCCTATCACATAGTTGTAGTCAGTTGTATCAGAAGCTAAATGGTAAGAATAGGTCCCTATCACATAGTTGTAGTCAGTTGTATCAGAAGCTAAATGGTAAGAATAGGTTCATTCTTACATATTTCTACAAATGTGACACCCTTCTTTCCCTTCCAGATAAATAACTTCTGCTTGCTAGACAGCATGGTCCAAAATAGCAAGTTCTAATTCTGGCTCCTACTTGCGAAAAAAAGAAAAAATAGAGGTCCTTTCTTAACTGAAAGTTTATACAGTGGTGTGCTGGTTATAAACATGACTTATAACCATGTTATAAGAGGGATTACATATGCATGTATGGGGTGATGGTGTTATTTTGAGACAAGATTTAAAGTAGCCTGTGCTGGCCTTGAACTTGCTATATGTAGTATAGGCTGGTCTTGAACTTGCTATATATAATCAAAACTGACCTTGAAATCTGACACTCCTGTCTCTGCTTCCCAAGTGCTAAGGCTACAGATGTATAAGGTTTTTGTTTGTGTGTTTGCCCTAGAATTACCAGCTTATTGAAGGTCCACACCACAGCCAAGGAAACTTTAGAAGCACTGGCTTAAAGTAGTAAAAAGTAAAAACTTTGCCTTATTGTTCTCATTCAAGGATAAACAAGCACAATAAACTGATACTGTATAACATTCTAAAGCTCTTCCAGTGTAAGCTGTTTGCTTGTTTGTTTGTTTGTTTGTTTGTTTGTTTATGGTTCCAAAACCCTTCATTGCATGTATTACGGTAACTTGGGTTGTTCAGAATGTACTTCATACTACAAGGTAAGAGTTTTCATATAGGACTTCATGTGCTTAAAATAGGCTGCTTTTGAATTGCATTAATCAATAACTTTAGCCTAACAAGTTCATTTTGTTTTGTTCTTCATATCGTTTACTAAAAATAAATCTTTACGTGAAATTGTAACAGCTACTCCATAGTGGGAGTTTTTCTTCCTATGAATAAATGGGAAGGCATGCAACTGCGTTTATTAGATTAAAATTAAATGTAATTACGCACAGAACTTTGGATCAACAGTATCTTGTTCCTTACAGTGGTTACAGCCTGTGACATGGCAGGTGCAGCTATGTATGAGCTGGTGAGAGTAGGTCACAGCGAGCTGGTTGGAGAGATTATTCGATTGGAAGGTGACATGGCTACCATTCAGGTGTATGAAGAAACTTGTATCCTTTTCTGGTCAATTTCCTGCCCCCTTCTGAGTGATGTTGCAAAGTAGAAGCAATAATAACCAGTGATGGTGCATGACAGGTACATGTCATAAAGGAATATATTGAGGGAAAGCTACTGGGAATTAGTGCCCTTAGTGAAGAAATTGGAATTACATTCAGAATTTTCATTGCTTTAACATCTAGTGTTAAAAACTTCAGGTAATCTAGTTGGAAATTTGTTTAGAAGATTTCATACTGCAGAAGAAAGCACAAGTGGAATAATGATATTGGTATATATGGTTAAAATTGCCCATTCATGATTTTTATTTAAAATAATAAATATGGATCCTTCACTGTTCTCAATCTTTAATGAATACTATATTCATTATAATAATGAATATTATAAATGTGGCACTAAGAACTCTTTACTGTTGGGTTGCTACAATACTGATTCTTAAGCACAGGATCTCTGTACAGTTTTCTGTGAAAAACAGGAAGGGCTTACAGGAGAGCCAGCATATAAAGGTGCTTGGCGCCAAGCCCAGCAGGATGAGTCTGATCCCTGGAACTTAGGCAAAAGTGGAGGGAGAAAACGGATGGGATGAAGTTCTCCTCTCCTTCCCATGCCTGCACTCGTGTATACACAATAAACTAATGCTAAAAATTTATTTCCAGTAGAAATTAAAATGTAAAGAAATGTAAGCCTCACAAAGAACTGGTCTTTTGAAACACTTTTAATTCTCAAGGTCAGCGTTAATTCTTAAGAGTTTTAAGCAGATTTTGCTTTCTTGTTATTCTTAGAAGCATGCTTGGAGGTATTTCCTGTATGAATAGTAGGTACTAATGTAGAACAAAGTCATCTAAAAATGAAATTAGAAGTCTCTATTTGTCTATGTGCAGGTGCACATGCCTGTGGTGAAGGCCAGGAGACAACCTGAAATGCCGTCCAACATGAGTTTTGAGACAAGAGCTCTCATTTTGCATAGAGCATGTAGAATAGGCTAGTCTTGCTGGCTGGCCAGCCCCAAGAATTTGACACAGGCTCCCCAGGGCTTAGATTGGAAGAATATGCTTTTTTAACATGGTTTCTGGAGATTGAATTCATATCCTCATGTTTGCAAGGCAACACAGAACCTCCTTCATATGTGCCAAGCATACATTCTACTACTGAGCTGTACCTTACCTCATAGTTACACTCTTTTTTACATGGTTTGTAGACTTAAAGTTAATGAAAATGTATGCAGTGACAGTACTCCCTACATTTTTTGGCCTCTATTGCTGATTTCAAGACTATATAAGCACTTTGATTAGTTGCTTGTAATGATTGTATATCTTTATGTACTTCTGTACTTTTAGGTTTACTTTAGCATATAAAATAATGGGTTTCATTAAGGCATTTTTATAGATATATGTATCATTTTACTTTGTTTTAACTTAAATTGTGTATCCTAGCAAATGGAATATATATTTGTCCTTTCCATAAGATAACACACTGTATACTGTATTCTGTACATGTTTACCATTTAAAGATATTTGGATTGCAGAATCTAAAGATGATGTGATAAATATAGTAAAATGTAATGATGCAATCTAGAGATACAGAAGTGGTTTTTGAGAAATTCTTTTAACTTTTTATAGGTTTAAAAAATCATTTGATACTGATAATGAAAATACATGTTTTTGAGACCTTTTATGATTATTTATAGGTGTTCTTTTTTAATAGCTACATATAATCCCAGCATATAGTATTATCATGAGTTAGTAACAAATACTATAAATTTTGATGATTTATAGTCTTTCTTTTAAAATGCTACATTGTAACCATTTTTAATTTTGAAAGACCTTCCTAAATCTCAGTAAAAGTTTTATTAATTGTACTGCCAACAAATACTATAAAACAAGGCATTTCACTGCCTTTGCTCACTTTTAGGCTTTATCTTCTCTTCCTAAAGCATTTCCTTAGTTCTTAAATTTTCAAATTTTTGGTCTAGGTACCACTGTTCTTTATAGAAAACTATTATTCTTTAGCAGTATGTTCAAAATTATAAATGAATGAGAGGCTTTTGCTTTTATTAAACCTGCGACTTCCAAACCGTGCAGAGGCATTTGGGCAGCTGTAGCAGACTCACGTGAAGGCTCCCAGGTCATTCAGAATTTTTGAGGTTCACACTGGAATACTAGACACTTCATCAGACTTGACTAACCACTTACATATTTTGTTGCATTACATTCTTGTCAGTGGCATCATGTTTGTGAAGCTGAGCTAAAATCCAACGAGGTAAAAATAAGTATTCAGTAGGCTTCCAGTCTTACTGTTGTCATTTAGGACTAAAGTTGATTGTTTTTATTCTCAGTTTATAGTTTACAAGTGATTCTTTCATTGATATTCAGTTGTCAGAATATACACATTTATCAGACTCTTTGGATGTGAGTATTTATTACCTAGAAGTGTTTTTCCTTAGACACAGAAAAATACTATTGAAATATCAAAAATATGGAAAATCCTGGGAACTTATTTTATCATCTTTTTAAATGTCATTTCTCTTTTAAACTGATATTGCCTATTAATAGTATCTTCACACTTTGGTTTTAAGTTTTCCTCAACTGCTGTTTCTAGCTGGAGTCTCTGTTGGAGACCCTGTACTCCGCACTGGTAAACCACTCTCAGTAGAGCTTGGTCCTGGCATTATGGGAGCCATTTTTGATGGAATTCAGAGACCTCTATCAGATATCAGCAGTCAGACCCAAAGTATCTACATCCCCAGAGGAGTAAATGTGTCTGCCCTTAGCAGAGATATCAAATGGGAATTTACACCCAGCAAAAACCTACGGGTATGTCTGTGTAACCAGGAGTCCCTAAAGTTGGGGAAAGAATATGAAATGTGTATTTAGTGAACTGTTTTGTAGTCTTAATTTAAATAAATATAAACCATGGATGTGGTTTTAATGCAGTTACTGACTGTAGAACTAATGCTTTATTCTTGAGTTAGGCAAGTGATTTTATATTACTAAAATAAGAGTAAGTCTACTTGGGTGTTTTTGAGCATTAAAGAGTGAATGCATTTGTTCCTTAGGTTGGTAGTCATATCACTGGTGGGGATATTTATGGGATTGTCATTGAGAACTCGCTCATCAAACACAAAATCATGTTACCACCACGCAACAGAGGAAGCGTGACTTACATCGCACCTCCTGGGCATTATGATGCCTCTGTAAGTACCACCTGGGCTTTCTTCTACACAGCAGCATGATCATATATGACAGTTACAGTTTAGTGCCCTGAAAGCATTAAAGCATTTCTAATATGTAGGTTTTGAGTGACTCCTGTTTTATTTGTTTATTTGTCCATTTATTTACTTACCTTTGTGATGACAGGGCACAAGTCCAGAACCTCACACATACTAGGCAATCACTCTACCACTGAACTGTGTGAATTCTTATGGATAATTTTGTTTTTACCTGGACTTAAGAATATGCTATTTTTTCTCTCTTCTTAACTGATGGATTTGCCTAAATCTCATATTCATTAGATTTAGAATAGACCTGATTTTAACTGCCAGTCAGTATTTTACATAGTTAATTATAAAGAAGGTTGTGTGGATTCTTACTTTAAGTCCACCATTTTTAACTTAATTTATTAACTTTATTTACTTTATTAATTTTATAGTCACCCAATGTCAGACACAATAGATTCCTATCAGTCTTTGAATCTGAAGATAGTTTTATTGAGAAGACTGTGAGAGCATGTAGTGTCGCCCTAGTAAAATGCAATAAGCAGTTTTTAAAAAGTGTTTACAGAAATAAGTGTGTGCTTTACAACATACAGAGAACACATGTTGGTTTGGGGTTCTGGAACAGCTGTCTAGATTTGTTCACTAGCTTAGAGACTTGCTCATTCCAAGCGGAGGAATTGCCCTAGAGCAGACCATTCCCGTATTAACCAAACTATAGGTTTCTCCTGAAATTTGGAGTTATTTGTGAATAGTTGAAACAGCCTCAGTGTTCATAGATGTTGTCATATCACTTCCTTTTTAAACATAAATAAAAGAATATTGTTTGTGAGCTCTTACATGTATTTTTTATTAAAGCAGTATGATTATTATAATAAAATAGGATGAAAAGTAAATGTGAATCTTGCATTTTTCCCTAATCCAAGGAGCATGTGTGACCTCTAAGGCTTTTCTGTACATGCATGTACAGTTTATGTAGCTATTTATTGCTTGATGTGTTCCTTTCCAAAAACCTACCATACTTTTTATTAGTCAATGAGATGATAATGCACCTACTATAAAATGTATGATCACATATAAAGACACATAATAAAAACCATATGTCTCCCTTCTTACTTATATAAAAGCACTGTTGTATCCACAAGAGGAACCTGGAGATACTTATTTACATTTTGGAAGAACAATTCACAGATTTAGCCACCTTTAAAATTCTACTGCCTTTTTTGTTTTGTTTTGTTTCTCTAGGATGTCGTCCTGGAGCTTGAATTTGAAGGTGTGAAGGAAAAGTTCAACATGGTTCAAGTATGGCCTGTGCGTCAGGTGCGGCCCGTCACTGAGAAGCTCCCCGCCAATCATCCCTTGCTCACTGGCCAGAGGGTTCTTGATGCCCTTTTTCCGTAAGTTTGTTGTGTCCCACCATTTGCTCCAAAGTCACCATATGTATCTGTCTTGTCATAATCTTTACAGAGGTGAGTTCTCTGTATTTAATACTGTGACCTCAGAGTTTTATCTATGGTAGCAATGGTGAATTAGTTAACATCTGTTGCCAAAAATTGAGACTCAAAAGTTTTTTTCCTCCACAGTCACGGTTTTAAAAACTTACTGAAAAGTAACATTTCCAAAAGACTATCTGTGACAAAGCACATAACTGTCTTTCTTAGGTTGTTCTAGAATTAGTGGAGTGGTGTTACTATATGCTGCTAATAGTACTAATTTAGTATGCTCTTTTCCGTTTTCATTGCTGAGAAACATTTTACTTCCTTTTGTTAGACATGGTGCTTTACTGCATGCTGTTGTATTTTCTAGCATGACCTCATCATTTAATTTCCAGAAAACATTGGTTTCTGCCTCAACCTTGCATCACTAAACTCATCTTTAAAAAAGAAGGCCGTGCCTCACCCTAAGCAGGCACTTTGACACTGACCTTAGGCCACCACCTCCCTGCATTCTCACTGAAGGCTCTTACTCTTCAGAGTTGCTCTTGGGTTACTCTTACTCTTACCTACCAAGACCTCTGTCCTTTGACTTCCTTGCTGTCACTGCCTCCTATCTTGTATACTTCCTTACTCAGATTATCCTCCACAGACTGCTTCTTATGAATATTTTCTAGTGGTATAATAAAGCTTTGTATTCCATCAGACTCACCTGGCAAAATCCCAACTATGAATCTGTCCAGCTGTGTCCTTCTGCTTTGCACATAACACAGAAAACCCCCAGAAAAATCCATGGAAATTGATTTCTGTCCACACCGCTGTGTAGCAGTCCTGCTTTCTCTACTATAAATGTCTGCTCTTCTCAGCAGCTGTTTCAGGTTTCTCTATTTAATTCAAATATTCAACTCCATCCATGTCTCTTCCCCTTTCTCTGAGAAATCAGAGACTATGAAGCCTGGCACTCCCTCCATCTCCCACCACTTAATGCACATTCCATCCATCTCTTCTCTCCCCTTTTGGAGTTTATCATATTTCTACGTTCTTCAAATATTTCTCCCTCTTCTGCCTCTTTTTGTAAGAATCCTATTTAGTGAGAAAGAAGGAAGGGAAAAGGAGAAAAAGGATTTACTTTACCCTGTTTATCCTTTCTACTTGTCACTACTTTCCCCCTCATCTTCATGGCCAAGCTCTTGAAGAATACACGTGACCCTCTCACCACATGAATTCATTCTGCTCTGCACTTAGCATTGCTGTTCCCTTGAACTGATCTCATTTGTATCAACAGTTGCTCCTGTACTTGATCAATTTAAGCAATAAATTTTTAATTCCTCACAACTTTGAATATTGCCTAGCCATGATCCCCCTGCTCTTATCTGTTCACAACTCCTGTACTGACTTTTTGGGAAGGTATGAGTTTCCTAGCCCTTTTTCTACTCCTTAAAAAGGAGAGAAATGTGGTTTATAGTTTTAATTCATGTGTTGTCTTTTCATGAACAGACTTGTATAAGCATGGTCATTAGTGCTATTTTGTTTATCTCACTATTTTCATATAGCCATTCCTTGGGTGTCTTGTGGAATACACTTTCACTTTCCATCTACTGTAAATGATAGAGATGGTTAATCATAATAAAATATTTGCTAATTTTTGTTATTGTTTTGAAACAGTGAATCACTCTGTACCTCACCCTTGCCTAGGATACTATGAAATTCAAGCTAACTTCCAAGTCATGGATGCTCCTACTGCCTCAGCCTCCCAGATACTGGGACAGCAGGCATGAACTGTCACATCCATCTTTTTTTGTTGTTGTTTGTTTTTTGTTTTGTTTTGTTGGGTTAGTTAGTTAGTTTAGTTAGTTAAGGCAGGGTCTCTGTGTAGCCCTGGCTGTCTTAGAACTCACCAAGTAGCACAGGCTAGACTCAAACAGACATCCACCTTCTGGGATAAAAGGCATGCAGCATCATACCTGGTTTGCATCCACCTTAAAACATAGGCTATTAAGCACAAATAAGTTGCCAATAATTACGTCAGCTATAGATTATATATATATATATGTATATGTATAGAAATGTTTCAGAGTAATTACCTTAATTTTTTATTACTTACCTACTTTATTTGATAGTATATATTAGCAAGCCAACTGAGTAATAACTATTTCTTTTGATTTTTGTTTTGTTGTCCTTCAGGTGTGTTCAGGGAGGAACTACTGCTATTCCAGGTGCTTTTGGCTGTGGAAAGACTGTGATTTCACAGTCTCTATCCAAGTATTCCAACAGTGATGTGATCATCTATGTAGGATGTGGTGAAAGAGGAAATGAAATGTCAGAAGTTCTTCGGGACTTCCCTGAGGTCTGTCTGTAGAAAACTCCAAAAAATCTTCCAGAGAAAATACTGCATATCAGCTGTCATTGGCAATTAATAGTTTATGTTTTTTGGGTAAAGAATAGTGCTTTGGTTGTCAAGATACTTTCAAAGAATTTTAAATTAATATTTGTGATTGATTTGTATATTTTAAAAAATGAAAAGTGAGTTATTCAAGGTTAGACACTTAAAAATTTATCATCTTTGTTCTCTCTTATGAGAGTGATAAAACAAAAAAGCATTTATGTTTTGGCTGGGTATGGTGGCACGCGCTTGTATTTGGTAGGCAGAGCCAGCAGAGCCAGTTCAGGGCTAGTCTGGACTACATGAGACAGTGTCTAAAATGGACCCTAGAAAACCAAGCATTTAATTGTGTAAGCTTTACATGGGTTTTGTGATCTTGGTTATTGTAGTAACATTTCCTTTTTCATAAAATAATGGGTTTCCTTTGTCCTAAATGAAATTATCCATTTGTCAAACAATACTGTGGAACACGGAAGAGAGGTTGGCATGATGGGTGATATTCTTTGGGAATTCTGACCAAAAGGATTAGACATAAACAAGTTTTATAGTTTTTTAAAGTAGGGGGAGAAACTAAAATGTTAACACTTACACTTAGAAACTAGAAGATCACTAATGGATTTTATACCGTTAGCTCACTATGGAAGTTGATGGTAAAGTAGAGTCGATCATGAAGAGAACAGCACTGGTAGCCAATACCTCTAATATGCCTGTGGCTGCACGAGAAGCCTCCATCTACACTGGTGAGTTGGGAGCTGAATAAAAGAATTTAAACCTGTCCTTAAATTTAGCAATGCACCCAGTCTTTCTTTCCCAAAGAATTTCATTCTAAAAAACTCCCATATAATCATATTTGTAGCTTTTAAGAAATATCAAATTTATTTTATGTATTATGAGAATAAGTAAAGTTTTTAAAAGGATTTTTATTTGTGTGTATGTGTGTGTGTTTGTGTGTTTGCCACATGTATGTGTGCCCTTAGAGGACAGAGGGGCTGTCAGATCTGCTACACCTAGAGTTTCAGGCAGTTATGAGCTACCCAACAGGGTTTTGTGGACAAAGCTCAAGTCCTTTGCAACAGCAACATGACCTTTTTTTAAAAAATATATTTATTTATTTATTATAATCTATTCACTTTGTATCCCTGTTGCAGCCCCCTCCCTGTCTCCTCCCAGTCCCACTCACTCACTCTCTCTCTCTTCTTCCCCTATGCCCTTTCCCTAGTCCCCCGATAGAGGAGCTCCTCCTCGTCTTCTATCTGACCCTAGCTTATCAGTTCTCATTGAGGCTGGCTACATCATCTTTCTCTGTGGCCTGGCAAGGCTGCATCCCCCAGGGGGAGGTGACCAAAGAGCTGGCCACTGAATTCATGTCAGAGACAGCCCCTGTATCCCTTACTAGGGTACCCACTTGGAAACTGAGCAACCATTGCACTTCCTTCGAACAGTGGGCCTAGGTCCTCTTCCATGCATGGTCCTTGGTTGGAGTATTGATCTCTGCAGGTCTGCCTGCGTCCAGGTATTGTGGCACTGTTACTACTCAGCAATGAAAAACAAGGAAATCATGAAATTTGCAGGCAAATAGTGGGAAGTAGAAAAGATCATCCTAAGTGAGGTATCCCAGAAGCAGAAAGACACATATGGTATATACTTACTTATAAGTGGATATTTGCCATATAATATAGGATAAACATACTAAAATCTATCGCCCTAAAGAAGCTAAACAACAAGGAGGACTCTAGGGAAGATGATAAATCCTCATTCAGAAGGGCAAATAGGATAGACACAGGAAGTAGAAGACAAGGAACATGACAAGAGCCTTCCACAGAGGACATTTGAAAGACTCTACCTACCAGGGTATGGAAGAAGATACTGAGATTCATGGCCAAACTTTGGGCAGAGTGGCAGAATCCTTATGGAAGAAGAGGGAGATAGAAAGACCTGGAGGGGACAGGAGCTCCACAGTAGAATAGCACAAGCTTTTCACCTTTGAGCTTCTCTCCAGCCCCAAACATAAGATGTCTGTCCAGCTGCCCCAGTAGTCATTGTTGTCTTCTTCAGTTCCTCCTCCCTGTCTTTTCCCCTGCACACCCACTGCTGCCTGATTTTTGTTCTGCACTTCCAGGGTCTTGCACATACTAGGCAAGCACTCATGAGCTATATCCATATATTATATATTCTAGTTCTCTTAAAGATCACAAAACAATACATTTGCCTGGTGTTTTTTCCTAATATATGTTGACTTGCATAGACTTCCTGATTTATGATCTACTGGGTTAACATAGTAATATTTATTTTGTTTATGAAAAAAACAAGTTTCATTTTTGAAGTAGAAGGAATGCCTATCCAAACCTGGACATCCAAACCTTGGTTTGGCCAAGTTCAAAAGTTTTGGATCAATATTATTTTGCCTGAGTATACTTATTCAAGCATTAAACATTGGGAACAAAATCTGAGAATAAATCTCTCTCTTTTAGAAGTGACTTTATTGATGCAAGGAATTTCTCTTTAAATTTGAGGTCTCATAGCTTTCTTAGGATGTATGGCAGTGTTGATAGATTAGATACTTCTTTCTAAGCCGTGGACCCTGTTAGTCTTTGAATGTGTTTTTTGTTTTGAAAGATTTTTGAGAATTGTATTTGAATCCTTTTCCTCCATTAGACATATTGGACCTCCTTCCTCTGTTTTCCAGGTACCATTTCCTGTCCAGTTCTTCTCTATAGGCTTTCATCCATACACGAAATAAATAGTGTCACTTCTAATGAAGTCTGCATTTGTACAATAGTTTTGTTTTCGTTCCAGGTCTTTGTTGGGTTCTGTCAGCTCATAAAGCAGCTCTTCTTGTTATATACTTTCTGAGATCATAGTCTGTGGAAGGATTCAGGATTAAGGTTTTCTTTTTAATTCACTGTAGTCACACTTTTCATCTGTTCCTTGGCAGGCTATTTTGACATCACATCACTGTATTTACATGTATATTGTTTTTATTTAAGTATTTCATACTGATATTTATTACCATTAGTCATCTTCTAAGAGATGGGTGGGACTGGCTATGACTGGTATAAGGGAACAGGAATTCTTCATGGTTGTTTGTAAAGTGTGTTATGAAACACAATTGTGTGATTATTTCCCTCATTCTCTAAAGTGAACTGCAAGCCATTGGTAGTAAATTCTTTCTCCTCTCCTGTGCCTCACCCATTTTATGTAATGGGAGTAGGGAGTGCCTGCATGTGTTGTGTTTTACCTGCATCTTTCTACTACTTCTCCATACCAAACTGGGCCCAAGAAACTTCTGCCACTGGTCATTTTGCTCCTTAGCATGTGTGGCTCTTCAGTCTTCAAAACATGTTTCAAGGGCTGTGGGAAGTTGAGAAAACTGTATGACTTCCCTGGCCATGGAACATATAATTTTAATCACATTTAATCACAGAAGCTTTATTTGAGTTGTATGGCTTCAGGTGAATTCTTGATGCTTCCTCACACCTGTATTTGTTTTCACTTATTTAGATCATATCCCTTGTTACTTTAGCACAGGATTAGACACTGAATTTGGAGTACTGTTTTTTGTTTGTTTGTTTTTGGGTTTTTCTGTTTGTGTTTTGTGGGTTTTTTGTTTTGCTTTGTTTTTTGCTCTTCTTGTTTGGTAGTAACTTTTATGAAAAGGAAATGGTATATTCATGTGTGATTTTAAGACAGGGAATCTACCTCATTGTTTTTATGACTGCAGTTTTTCTTTATATGGATAGAGCATATGCATAATTTTTTTAAAGAGAACTATTTTAAATTATGGGGTGCTAGTGCATAAATACAATGACTGCAGTGACCAGAAGAGGACATTATACCCATTGGAACTGGAGTTTTGGCCACCCGGCTGGGTGCTCTTAACTGCTGCACCATCTCTGCAGCCTCAGTAATAATAATCTAACCGGCATCTTTGTGGTGAACATTAGGTTATGGTTTAATTCTGAAAGCCATTTATGTATTGCAATAACTATGAGAAAGTTTGTTTTTCACCTTTACCAGTGCTAATCCAGTTAGCAAACACATAGAGAACTTGAAGCAATAGTACAGTAAACACTTAAGTACTGAGCACTTAGAACTTATGATTGACATTTTAACAATTGTTGCTTTATTACATCCTAGTCAGTCTATAAAGTAAAATGAACTAACTTCTTTCCCATGTTCATTATCTCCTTAAAAACTTCCCACTGTCAGTTTTCCTTTTAGATGTCTTTCCTATTGATTTATAAAAGCTCTTTGATTGATGAAGATACTGATTTTTTGAATCTATGAATGCAACTCAGTTTGTCCTTTGACTTTTCACCCTCATCCCCACCCGTGCTCACATGTGCTCAGCTAACCCCTGAGTGTTAGCTCCAGCTTTTTTGGGTTTCATCTGAGTTGTCAGTTGTTATATTTTTGGTTTTTCTTTGTAGGCACTGAAATCTGTAGGTCATGAGAGAGGCCTTGATTACTCATGTCTATCTTTTCTACAAGTATTGGTAGCATTATATCACAGACCTAAAACACATCTGTGCTTATACAAAAAGTCTGTTCTAAACATGAGGATAGACTATCTGGTGTGTTTTTATTGTGTTTTTATGCCTAAATATTGAGTTATTAAAGGCTCTTTTGTAAAACCATTTTAGACCTAGTGTTTTTATCCTGGAGTCATGATGTGGTACGTAATAAAATGCTGGTTTACAACTTTTCTCTTTGCTTGTATAAGCTTGTTTTGTTCTTGCTAAAACAAAAATTAGGGTATTAGGTTTGGTGACTCTGACAATACAGACATAACTATATGTTTCTGTTGCTTTAAAGTTGCATATAATTTATTTTTTGAAGATATTTATGTGTAGTTTATTTTCTTTAATATATACAAGTATGTAGAGTGGGAGTTTCTCCATTTTAATAGATTAGAAACCTGTATTGGAAAGGTTTGGCTGAGATAAGTAACAGCACAAGACCCAAAAACTTCTTTGTTGGTGTTTTGTTTTATAGGACAGGTCTGGTTGTGCACTTAGTTAAATATGCATGCCTGATGTATAGTACAGACAAGTTATGCTTGGAGATGTATTTCAGGCTAAATTATAGAAACAGAGAACAGGGCATAAAACCCTTCCCTGATTTTTAGAACGTATGGAATAGCATTGGCTATGGCATCAGAAAGTCTTAGTAGTGGCATACACCTTAATAGTCCCAGAATTTAGGGAGTCAAGGACAGGTGCATCTCTGAGTTCAAGGCTAGCCTGGTCTACAGAATGAGTTCCAGGGCAGCCAGAGAAACCTTGTCTTGAAAAATAAAAAAACAAAAACAAAACAGTCTCCAAATTGCAGTTGATCGCCATAGCAGTGGCTGGGGTACTCCTTTTCATTCTGTGCAGAAGCCAAAAGTGGCTCTTCAGTCTTCAAAACGTGTTTCAAGGGCTTTGGGAAGTCTAGAAAACTGTATGATTTGCCTGGCCATGGAACATCATTTTAATCACATTCTGCTGTATTAAGGTTAGGAAATATGGCTCAGCTCTGTGCGTAGAAGAACAAACTTGGGAAAATGATTAATGACATACTTAATGTGCCCATTGTTTTAAAATTTCTTAGAGACAAAACAGCCAGTAATTTGTATTCTAGCAGTGTAACCTAACAGTGCTCTTTTCTGTTTAGGAATTACACTATCAGAATATTTTCGTGACATGGGCTACCATGTCAGTATGATGGCTGACTCTACCTCTAGATGGGCTGAGGCCCTCAGAGAAATTTCTGGTCGCTTAGCAGAAATGCCTGCAGGTAAGTCTCATGTTGGTTGTCACTAATAGAATTTTAGGGGCTGCCTTAGAACTCCCTTTTAAACTTTTCTTTTTGTCTTTCAGATAGTGGATATCCTGCATATCTTGGTGCCCGGCTGGCCTCTTTCTATGAACGAGCAGGCAGAGTGAAATGTCTTGGAAACCCTGAAAGAGAAGGAAGTGTCAGCATTGTAGGAGCGTAAGCAGCCAAGCTGTTTGCTTTCCTTTATTTATTTGTTTATTCAGTGGAGACCTGGGCTTGCTGTGTAGCACAGGCTGGCCTGGGTCTAGTATTTCGCATTTGCCAACTAAGTGCTGCGATACAGACATGTACCACCATGCCCAGCTTATTTGAAAATAAGGAAAAGTTATTTATTTTGAAGAGAGGACTGGGAAGATGGCTTAGTGAGTGAAGTGTTCACCGCAGAAGCCTGGGGATCTGAGACTGAGTTCCAGAACCTACATTAAAAAAAAAAAAGCTATGGGTGTTGATGCATGCCTCTAATCCTAGAGCCTGGGATAGGGAGTAGAAGCAGGTGGATCCCTGGGGTTTTTTTGGCTGGCCAGCACAGCCTACTTGGTAAGCATCACCAGGCCAAGTGAGAGACTGTCTCAAAAATCAAGGTGGATGCTCCTGAGGAACAATGGCTGAAGTCATCCACAGGAGGAGGGTGGGTGGATGTATTTGGCTTCCTCTGGGAGTGTCAGTTCTTAAGTAGAGCTTCAAAGGCACTTTGTGAGGCAATTCAGGCTTCCTCTGTATCTTTGGGTCTCACTGGTGTGTCTTCCCTGATTTAGTCGATTCAAGTCACTGTATCGTAGGACTAACTATCTCTTGCTAAAGACAAAGTATAGATGTATGATTACTACATAAAGCCACACTTTACTCTTAGAACATTTGTGTTTCATCTTTTCCATTAGAATACTAAACGAATTAGAATAAATGACTGATTCATTTCTCATACTAGATGACATTCAATAATAATTGTCATTCTTATTTTCAACAAGATTTTTCTTTCCAAGAGTCATTTACTTTTAAATTTATATATAAGCAAACACTGAAGCTAGGAGGTAGGGGAGTGGCTCACCAAGTTCACGTTGCATTCCCAGAGCCCACTTAAAACAGAATGTTATGGGATACTTTTTAAATCGCAGCACCCTACAGCAGTATGGGAGGTGGAGACTGGAGAATCCCCAGAAACTCCCAAGACACAGCATACGCAACGACAAACAGGAAACGTTCTCAAACGAAGCAGACTGTGGAGGTTGTCTTCTGACCTCCATCTATGCTCCAGGGTACACATGCATCTCCTCTGCAGATGTGCACACACACAGACAGGTTTTGTTGGCTTGTTTTTAATAAGGTTGGCGAATTGTGTGCTGCTAGCTCATGTGCTTATTAGCAGGCATGAAGCTTTGAATTTCATTTCTAACTACAAAGACAAACACTATTAGCCTTTTTTATAATGTTGATGTTCATATATTACTTTTATTTATAAGTGTTTTGGTGTCTTCATATTTGTAACTTTCAAATACTCGATATATGTGATTATTTTTCATGAACATTTCTAATGATTGTGTTGTGTTTTTACTCTAGAGTTTCTCCACCTGGTGGTGACTTTTCTGATCCAGTCACATCTGCTACTTTGGGTATTGTTCAGGTATGACTTCCCCTCTGCCACACCCCAGCTGTAGTTTAACTGAGTAACCACCATTTTATTTACTCACTAAAGAATTGGCAGAAAAAAAAATGTTTTAGCAACCTTAACATTGTGAGAGTTTAACACATTCTGTTTTTTTTTCTTAGTTCTTTTTGTTTTGTTTTTGAGACAAGGTTTCTCTGTGTCTTGTTGGCTGTCCTTGACTCACTTTGTAGACCAAGCTGGCCTCCAGCTTACAGCCATCTGCCTGCCTCTGACTGGGATTAAACATGTGCACCACCATGCCCTCCTTTTTCTTAGTTCTTAACAGTTTATACTAAATATAGCAAGCCTGTAAATACATCCAGGTACTGAAGTTTTCTTTATGTTAGAGTTAGTCTATTCATTAAACTAACTCTAACTGTAGAACTAAATAGGCCCCAAACTACTTAATGCCAAAAAATTACAGTGTAATCCAAGGCAGATGGCCCCATCAGAAATTGGGTCTCTTCAATCATGACTGGGGCACCCATCTGCCACAAGGGAACACCGTGGCATTTTGAGCCCACATTTTGAACTGTGGGCTCCAAAGTGAAACTCTATTAACTATACCAGGTGAGAGCAAGATTGGAAGATGTGGTTTCTGCCTACATAGCTATTTACCTGAGTCAAAGCATAAACTTAGTGGATAGGTAATAATTAAAGAAGCCTAAATTAAAAAAAAAAAAAAAAAAAAAGTGCGTGAATCAGACAGAGCTATAGTTTAAAATAATGTTAATATATTCAAAACTTTGTATGTAGGAAAAATCTTTCTTGGTTTCCAACTGTATCAGATGAAATGGCAAAGGCTAAATTCATAGTTCTCAAAGTATTTAATACTTGCTAAATTTTGAATTTTAAGTTGTATGGGGGAGGTGAAACAAAGTAATAAATACAAAAAATATCTTGAGTGTTTGGCCTTAGAAAATGAATGTCAGATATTATTTAATTGACTGATAATGGTAGGAACTTGAATTCATCTGAACATTTTATTTACTATTTATTCAGTTTTCTGCCTGCATGTATACCTGCAGGCCAGAAGAGGGCACCAGATCTCACTATAGATGGTTGTGAGCCACCTTGTGGTTGCTGGGAATTGAACTCAGGACCTCCGGAAGAGCAACCAGCGCTCTTAACCACAGAGCCATCTCTCCAGCTGCTCATCTGAACATTTTAAAGGTTTTAATCAATGTCTGTTCCATCTCAGTAAGCCCTTATGGTTCTTCTGTTCTTATTATAGCATAATAAGCTCCAATTGCACCTATTTTCTTTTTACTATCATATTTGATGTAGTTTTAAGGAAGTTGAAATAAAAGTTTGATATGTAGGTATTACTCACTCTGAAAATGGAGAAATGTGGTTTTTAGTTAAGATTGGGTTTTGCACATTTTATTCTATTGCAGTTATGTTTATATATGCTAATATGCTACTTAATTGACTCGAGAAGTTACAAAGGTGCTTATTGGGGACAAACAGATACACTGCACTACTTTGGAAAAGTCTAACATTTCTTTTGTTAAATCAGGTGTTCTGGGGCTTGGATAAGAAGCTAGCTCAGCGCAAGCACTTCCCGTCTGTCAACTGGCTCATCAGCTACAGCAAGTACATGCGTGCTTTGGATGAGTACTATGACAAACACTTCACAGAGTTCGTTCCTCTGAGGACCAAAGCTAAGGAGATTCTGCAGGAAGAAGAGGATCTGGCAGAAATTGTGCAGCTTGTGGGAAAGGTGAGTTAGAGTGGGCGCTGCACTCGGGTACTGTGTGAGTTGCTGGAATTAGGTATTCAGATGCTTGCCTGGCTTGTGACTAATCCCAGCACTTAGGAGCCTAAATCAGGGACAGTACCACAATTCTGAGTCTGTGTGCACTACATAGTAAGTTCCAGAATAGTATGTGTGGGCTCTGAGTATGAGATCATGTCTCAAAACAAACAAAAACCTCAGGTAGTACTTTTTTTTTTTTTTTTTTTTTTTAACTAACTGAAACTTTAAAATTCCATAGCCTGGTCCTGGGTTCATGACAGGTAAGACACCCACCGCTAGTCAAATTATATATAAAATTAGGGCCAGGTAATGTAATTTTTGTAGGAGCACTAGAGCTGGGACTCAAACGCTCAGATTCTAATTCCATTAATGATATATGTATCTGACATTCTGTTGCTTATGTCTAGATATTCCAAAGAAGATGGTGAAAACAAATTTAGACAAGTTAAATCTTGCAATTGAATAGTTTCTCAGATCACAGGACTAAGATTTCTTCCCAACCCCCTCCTGCTTTTGAGATAGAGTATCAATATGTAGTTCAGGCTTCACACTCACAGTCCTCCTGTCCCTACCTCTCAAGTGCTGAGATTATATGTGTCCCACCCTGCCAGGGCCTGTTACTTTTATTATATATGATAAAACAACCTCCTATTTCTTCTCAACAAAGGATGATATTATTAGAAAGCTAACATCTACAGCAGATAGTACACATTTGGTACTTGTGATATATTGTTAGATAGCTAACATCTACAGCAGATAGTACACATTTAGTACTTGTGATATAGTGTTAGGTAGCTAACACCTGTAGCAAGTGTTACATATTTAGTATTTACAGAGTATTGTATCCTCTCAAAGGAGCAAGAAATAGACCTGCAACACTGGATAATGACAATTTGAGAAAAACATTTTGTTATGAATATAGATTAAAATATTAAATACTCACTTGTTAGCCCTACTGGGGCATTACAAATATAATCTGTTGTGAACAAGCAAAGTTTAGCAAATGTGACACAAAAGATGCATCTTTAGGAACAGGCGGGATAACTCAGTCAATAAAGTACTTTCTGCATAGTCACAAGCACCTGAGTTCAGATTGCCAACACCCATGTAGAAAGCCAGCACTGTGGAGGCAGACACAGGAGGATCCCTGCGGCTGCTTGTGCCACCATTCTACTGAAGTCCCAAGTTCAGTGAGAAAAAAATTTAAGGTGGAGACACCCAGCATCAGTCTCTGGCTTCCACATGCACACATGCAGAGTTGTACACACATATGAACATGTACACATCCATATGCAAAACATAATGCATCATAACTTACTCGTGTTATAATAACTGCATTGGGACAACGTTATCTCAGCCCCAAAATATTTGAACTTTACTGTTAGAATTTTAGAAGTCTCTTATAAAACAAGTAGTAGAATTTTGTAACTGTGAAAAGTGACATGCCTAGCTCCTCATGCTTGTGTGTGTCTTTATGGTACTGCTGCTGGAGACACGGAAGGGAAAGGTACTTGAGCCCATGAGTTTGATTCCCCAGGCAATGGGGGCAGGAAGGCTGGACAGATGGTTAAGAGCACTCATTGCTGTCACGGAAGACTTGGGTAGAGGTCCCAGCACACATGTTGGGCCGCTCACAACCTCCTGTAAGTCCAGTTCCAAATCTGATGCCATCTTCTGTCCTCTGCATGTCCCCACATACACACAGCAGACACAGAAAAACACACATACACATGAATAAAAGTTAAAATAAATCTTGAAAAAAGAATAGCTGGGGGTGATAGCTCAGTGGATAAAACAACTTGCCTAGGCAGCCATAAGTACTTAAATTCAACTTCCAGCACCTATGCAAAAAGCCAAGTATGATTACACGCACCTCTAACCCTGATATTGAGGGACAGAGACACAGATTCTGGAAGTTCACCAGCTAGCTAACCTAGCCAAAATGGCAGCCTTCTAGCTCGATGAGAGACCCTGTCTCAAGGGATGAAGGGTCCTCCTCTGGCTTCCACATTGGCATGTACACAGTCACATTCATGCTACACTCAAATAAATGAAAGTACAAATTAATATCCTAAAACAGGAAGCTTTTACTTAATAGAGTAGAGAAATTTCAAAAGCATTTCTTTCCAAAATGAAGATTAAAACTAGAATGCTTGCTATCACTGTGTTCAGTCGAATATGGAAGTCTTGAATAAGAAAATTGTTGTTGTAGAGTTTCTGTTGCTGTGATAAAACCCATGAGCAAAAGCAACTTGGAGAGGAAATGGTTCATTTCACCTTCTGCTTCAGGTAACAGTCTATCACTGAGAGAAGTCAGGGCAGGAACTCAATGAGGTCAGGAACTTAGAAGCAGGAACTGAAGCAGAAGCTACAGAAGGGTGCTCCTTATTGTCTTGTTCAGCCTGCATTCTTATCATCCAGAACCATCCATCCAGGAATGACACCACCCATGTGCGATGGGCCCACCCACACCGATCATTTTTCAACAAAATGCCCATAGACCAAATTGTTGGTAGGCACATTTTTTTTTTCAGTTGAGATTTCCTCTTCCCACATGACTCTAAAGTTTACATTACAAACTAGTAGCCATTATTTGTAAATAATGTGCTCACCTAACTAGAAAAATAACAGAGAAACAGAATTAATAAGTGTTAGGTGATTCAAGATAACAGAATGAAAAGAAATTTCTGTATACTAGCAGAGCATACAGTGTTCACAATAGCAATAAAAATTAGAGGCCATAGCTCGGGATGCTATTAATCCCAGCATTTGGGAGACAGAGACTGAAGGATCCATAAGATGGAGGCCAGCTTAGTCTTCATAGCTCCAGACCAGCCAGAGGCTACATAGTGAAACTGGTTTTGTATGTGTATATGTTTTTAAATTCAGGTCCCCCCCCCCCAAAAAAAAAAAAAAAAAAAAAAGAGTATATGAACTAAGTAAAAGTACATATTGTTTTCTATTAAAATCATTTTAAAACTAATATGTTATCTGAGAAGATTATCTCAAAACAGTCCACACTTCAGAGTAGATTAAAATGTATCATTTCTCAGGTCAGAAAGATGCCCAGTGGGTAAAGCTGCTTGCCAAATAAGCTTGATATGTAGGTCCTCAGAATCTACATAGAGGTGGAAGGAGAAAACAAACTCCAAAGTTATTCTCTGGCCTACATACAGACACATGTACATACTAAATTTTTGACAATGCCACTTCTGTTTTAACTACAAAGTCACTGTATTACCAAGCACATTTCTAGCTGATTTCATATTCAGTGCTAGGGATTGTACCCCATGCAAAAAAAAAAAAACAAAGGCTCTACTACTGAGCTACATCTTAGCCTGAATGTAGCTGACTCATCTGAGTAAATCAGTAATCATTCTAAAGTTCATTTGCTGTCTTAGACATTCTTGTTCACTCTTAGGAAAACAGAACAGTAAATAAGGAAGAATGTAATAAAAACTGGTATTGGTGAGATAACAGACAAACACACCAGTAGACAGAGCAGTGGTAGACTTATACATATATGGGTCATTGATACTGCATAGTGTTCCACAGATCAAGTGAGGGAATTATGGATTGTTTTGGGGAGCAGTGGAAAACTATAAAGTGTTTGAAGCAAATGAAATTGGGTTGCTTCCCAGCTCCACACACAAAAGTAAATTACAAATAGATTAAAAATTTAGGTGTAAAAGGAAACACGTTTCAGTAAGTAGAAATATGTGTGTGTCTCTCTGACTGTGTGGATATGTGCACGGGAGTGCACGTGCTGTTAGAAGCCAGAGGTGTCAGGTCCTCTGGAGTTGGAGTTGCAGGCAGTTATGAGGCACCCAATGGTGGTATGGGAATCAAGTCAGGGGCTTCTGAAATAGCAATGTGTGTTCTTAACTTCTGAGCCATCTCTCCAGACCTAGGGAAAAAAAACAAACAAAAAACACATGTCTATGGTAAAGACACTTGCTGTCAAACCCAGTAACCTGAGTTCAATTCCTGGAACCTACATGGTAGAAAAAGAGAAACTCCTGAAAGTTGTCCTAACTTCCACATGTGTTATGGCACACAGCCCTTCTTCCCTACCCCCCGCCCCCAAAATTGTATATATATATATATAAATAAATAAAATTTAAAGAAGATAAATATTAAATGACTACTTTTGTTATCTAAGATTAGGAAAGTACTTCTTAAATTTTCCTTAAGCATAACAAGGGAAAGTAACAATGGAGCTGGAAAAATGTCTCAGTGCTTAAGAGTGCCTGCTGCACTTTCAGAGGACCCATGTTTGGTTCTCAGGACTCACATGACAGCTCATTACTGTCTGTAACTCCAGTTCCAGGGGATCAAATGCCCTTTTCTGGCCTCTGTGGGCCCTGGGTGCACATGGATATAATAGACATATATGCATATAATAGACATATATGCACTCCTACACAAGAAATAAAATGTAATAAATGTTTAAAGGAAGTTTTCAGTTAAAAAACAAAAAAGTGATGATCTACTGTCTGAAATGTAACCAAAGGGCAGAGCAGACAGGTTAGAAAAGGAAACTAAAAATATTACTAAGGATGTGTGGATAATCCTTCAACCAGCAATGACACAACATTCTACATTAGTTTGAATGGCAAGAATTGTACAGCAGGGTGTTGCTGAGTACTGTGCGATCTGGTACAGGTATACTATTGGGTATATCATCTGGAGTGGGCACTGTAAATGTGCTGGGTACCTTAAGTCCTCAGCATATATGGTTGTAGAAAATGAGATGAAATTTGAGTGCCCTTTACCAAGGGCAAAGATAGAAGGAAAAGAATGGAGCATGCAGCCAGGCAGTGGTGGTATATGCCTTTAATCTGAGCACTAGGAGGCAGAGGCAGGTGAATCTTTGTGAATTCAATGGTCCACAGAATGAGTTCCCGGACACCCAGGGTTACATAGAGAAACTATCTTGAATAAATAAATAAATAAACAAATAAATATAAAAAATAAAATGGAGGATGGACATAAAGAATGAAATTGCCAAGATTGAATTATGTAGCACAGAACAACATGGTGGATCTTAAAAATCAACATGTCAAAACCACTAGAGAATGCTTTATATAATGAAAAATGTTTGCACAAGTAAAATATATATCTTTCTATAATTTAAAACAAAAACATGAGGTATGCTTAATATGTAAAAATGGTTGAAGAAAGAAATAGAGGTGAAAGGAATTTTCTGCCAAGAAAGCTATGAAAGACTTGATCCTTGCCTAAGGTACTAATATACACTTGTCATCTCAGACTGCCTCGAACTTGCTGGATTTGTCCCTTTCTCTTGTTGGCAATCCCAACAATGGTATTTTCTCATGGCTGGCCAGTGGTTGCCAACAAAGAGCATTTGAAACACTGATACTTATAGATTGAGGCTCCATAACATAGCTTACCAACAAAACAGCACTCATGTAAGTAAATACTTCCTATCCACCATAGTCTAAACATCCTGTAATGTTAAAAACAGAGTAACTTGGGGGCTGGAGAGATGGCTCAGAGGTCAAGAGCACTGGTTGCTCTTCCAGAGGTCCTGAGTTCAATTCCCGGGAACCACATGATGGCTCACAACCATCTACAATGAAATTTGGTAGCCTCTTCTGGCTTTCACGCATACATTCAGGCAGAATACTGTATACATAATAAATAAATCTTAATAAAAAAAAAAAAACAGAATAACTTTATGGAGCATGTAGATTTCCGTCAAACAAACGTAAGGCTGAATTCAAGTAATAGAGACAAGGTAGGATATAAAAAAGTACTTTAAAAAAAATGGGTACAGTGGTGGGGGAGGATCAAAGAGGCGTTAAGGAAGGGGCAAGAGTAGATCGAAATATATTGTATGTAATTCTAAGAAAATGTTTAAAAGAAAGTGGGGCTTGGGGACTGGAAAGTTGACTGAGCAGTTAAGAGTACTGGCTGCTCTTCCAGAGGGCCTGGGTTCAATTCCCAGCACCCACATGACGTCTCACAGCTGCGCTTAACTCCTGTTTCAGAAGATCTGGTGCCCTTTTCTGGCTTCTGCAAGTAATGCACACACATGGTACACAGACATACATGCGGGTGGAAGGCACACAATCAAAATAAATCTAAAGATGGTGTTGGAGAGGGAGCTCAGCAGTTGAGTACTTATGGCTCTTGCACAGGACCCAGGTTCTGTCTCCGCACCCACATCAGAAGCTCACAGTTGTGTAATTCCAGTTCCAGGGCATCTGATACCCTCGTCTGCTTTGGGGATCACCTGTGTGCACATGGTGCACATGAGCACATGTAGGTGTACACGGACACACAGGTGCTTTTAAAAAGTAATCAGGCTAGTGAGATGGCTCGGTGATTAAGAACTCTCTTGCAGGGTTCAGTTCCCAGTGCTCACATGGTGGTTCACAGTCCTCTCCAACCCCCATTCCGAGGCACCCAGTGCTTTCTTCTGACCTCTGGGAATCAGGCCCACATGTAGTTCAGATACACATAAAGTAATAATTTTTTTAAGAAATTAAGTCGTCAGGGAGGCAGAGGCAAGCGGATCTCTGTGAGTTCAAGGCCAGCCTGGTCTGCAGAGTGAGTTCCAGGATAGCCAAGTCTACACAGAGAAACCCCATCTCAAAAAAACAAACAAACAAACAAATCAGCTTGCATACTCATGTTTATAGCAGTGTTTTCTACAATAGCCAAGGGTGAAAATGACTCAAATGTCCACCTATTAGTGAATGAGCAGACAGTACTTTAACACAATACAGTATTGTCACACGCTACCACGCAGATAAACATTCAGGATATTTTAAATGAATAAACTAGTCACAAAGCAAATAGTATGTGATTTTACTTATCAGCTATCTAAAATAGGGAGAAGAACAATGCAGTTTGTGGGCTTAGAGTTTCAGGTGTGCAAGAAGGGAAAGTTTGAAAATGTTTAACAGCATTGTGATTGTGCTTTGTAGTGCTGAACTGTGAGAAGAACGGTTAAGACCTGCCTGAAACTCTCCCCGGAACTCACGGCAATCTTTCTGCTTCGGCTGGCCAAGTACTGAGATCGTAGCCATGAGCCACTATGCCTAACTTCTAGAGGCTAGATTTTATATTATGTACTGTTTTACCATCATTAAAAACAGTCAAAAGGCATCTGTAAAGTTCATTTATTAGTGATAGTGGTTGTATGCTGATATCTGCTTGCTAGTTGATTGTTACTGTTGCTCCCATGCAACAGGATAAAATGTCTTTGTCCGTTCCTTTCGTAGGCATCTTTAGCAGAGACAGATAAAATTACTCTGGAGGTAGCAAAACTCATCAAGGATGACTTCCTACAACAGAATGGGTACACTCCTTATGACAGGTATGCTATGTTGATTTCTTTCTTTATTTGAGGATTTTCTGTTGAGTTTTGGCAAAGAGCTGCCTGCATATTGAAAACTTTCTCCTACAATATTCTGACTCAGTATATTGCTTATTTTCTATGTTCATAACAGACATCTAATATGCCCCTTTGTGTCAGTTTGCTTGTTAGTCAAGGTCTGACAGTATTTTCACTCACAGACGTCTATAATTATAATGAATTGTGGCTTTGCGTGCAGACCTGGGGGAGTATCACCTGCCTCGTCTTTCTTCCCTGCTCCTTTTTGCCTTCCTTGCCTAAGTATTTATTTTGTGCTTTCCTGCCTCATTTCAGAGTCCCAAATTTCTTGCTAGAAAAGACCTTGCTGAGTGCCACTCCTACCTTTTTCCACCCCTTCCCCAGTTGCTTACCTGTTTTCATTTTCTCTACTTGTTCTGTGGCATTTTTAGAGAACCCTTTTCTTTTAAACCTTGAGGATTTGAGCCTTTTGTCTTAAGCTAGCCTTCTTTCTATGTGATCATATTTTACTCCATTTAAAAAAGAGCTAGGGAAATGGCTCATGTACCTTATGTTAAGCCCCCAATATCCACACAACAGTCACACAGATCTGTGTCCCTACTTCCCTATGTATGCTAAGGTGGATGCTGGAGACAGAATTCCAGGAAGCTCATGGGCCAGCAAGGAGGTCATGTGGTACATATAGCAGTGGACAGCAGACTGTCTCAGAGAAGGTGGGAGGCAAGCACTGCCACCCAAGACGAAAACTGAGCAAACAGAAGCATTGCTTAGAATGTAGGGCAAGTAGAAAATAGGCCAATGTGTCATCCTCAGAAGTCTGTTCTGTCCTGAAGGAACTACTACATAAAGAAAACAGAGGCAGAGTTCTCTAGAAAGACTGTGATAGATATGTGGAATTAAGTGTTTGCGTGTGTGTGTGTGTGCTTTTAAAAGGTATGGGTAGATAAAAATAAATAATATACTGAAGGGAATGGAAAAGGGGACAGTTTACCTGGCATACCCAAGACCCTGGGTTCATCACAATGAGAAAAGATGCAGGAGGAAAATGGGGTATCTTTAGCAGCTTTGCGGTTCTCTGCTTTCCTATTATACATTAAAACTTATCTCTGATTACAAGGGAGTCTTTACAAATCAGTTGTTTTACCACTTGAGTTATATATTTAATTACTTGTACCAAAACAGACTGCTGGCAAGTCATTAGAGCTTGGCAGTTCTGTCTCATTGTTTTCTGTTTAACAATTTAAAGATTTTCCTTTCAACAACATGCATGTTCCTATCCATTTATACCATCCACAATGAAGTGTCTTTTTCCCACTACTATTTCAATCTTATGTGCCATCCAGTAAATAGACAAAGAATGTTTATTTAAAGAACTAATGGCTAGTAATTCGTAACTAAAGTTTCATGTAGTGAAAGTAAGACTTTGCTTTGGAGGTTGTTTTTGCTAATTTCCCCGTTGTTCATTCTTCCTAGGTTCTGTCCATTCTATAAGACAGTGGGGATGCTGTCCAACATGATTTCATTTTATGATATGGCCCGTAGAGCTGTTGAAACTACTGCCCAGAGTGACAATAAAATCACATGGTCGATTATCCGTGAGCACATGGGGGAAATTCTCTATAAACTTTCCTCCATGAAATTTAAGGTATGTTTTCTTTCTATTCTAGCTTTCGTTAGTGAGAAACCAACTTTTTTTCTCTCTGCACTTTTCCTTCCTTCCTCTCCTATTTGAGTTCCAAACCTGGGGTTTGAAATTTCCTTTTTTCTTTTCTGTTTAAAATTTATTTTTATTTTGTTTATATGTGTATGTGCATTTGTTGTACACGTATGTGCCGCGTGTGTGTGGATACCTGCCAGGACCAGAAGTATGTGTTGGAGCTGGTGTATGCATACAGTCTGGGTGCTGAAAACTAAGCTTGGGTCCTCTGGAAAAGCATCAAACTCTTTAACTGCTGAGCCATAAGACCATGAAATCTGTTATTTTCATTTTACAATGCTTATATTGTATAAAACCAAAATAGTCTTCCAAGTTATGTCCACTCAGGAATTCCAGTGGTGAAGATTGTGATATGTCACGTCTGTGGGGCTGAGATGGCTCAACAGTTAAGAGTACTTACTGCTCTTGGAAAGGGCCTAGGTTCAATTCCCAGCATTCACATGGTAGATTACAACTGAAATTCCAATGATCTGGCACCTTTTCTGACCCCCAAGGGCTCTTATACACAAGTGATGTGCAGATAAACACTCGGGCTCACACACGTGCATTCTTAAATAAAAGTTCATAGTGTATCATATCTAAAATCATTTGTAAGTGTTTTTCTCTGTCTTAGCTACTAATCAGTACAGAGTGAATTCCTGGCTGGACATAAGTTGTTTTATTAAAGTGCCTATTATCTCATTTAGCTTCCACATTCTTACAGAGTTTAACCAGTTAAGTGAACTTACCAGTAGGAACGCAAATATGAGTGTTCTTAAAATATTTAATAAATTGGATTGTATTTCATTATTTCTAGGTCATGATGTACAGGCATATGTAAATAACCCATTAAAAATGATACTCTGAGTATATTTATACTACAGAAATACAGGTACAAGCCTGGAGGCCACAGGTAGCTTAGTGGGTAATGGTGCTTGCTGCTAACCCTGATGACCTGGATCCAGTTAGATGAGCTGTATTAGGTTATTGTCATGTTGCACTTTTTCACCTGAATGTGATGCTACCAGGCCTTGAACAGGAAATTCACAGAATTTGAACTTTCAGTTGCTGTATAGACACATGCATCTGATGTGTGATACTACAAGAGTCCCACTAGTCTCTACACATTGCTGAGGTTTCCTCATTTCTGCAGGCAAAATTCAGAAATGAAGTTTTGATTTTGATTTGTTTTAGTCTATTTGTACATTTCCACTATAAAAGAAAAGAAGATAGTCTTGACTTTTGCCTGTGATTTACTAGCATAGCTCAACTTAACCTGGTACAGCATATTAATAAGTCACTTATCACACACCTTAAAAATTATTTTCCATAGAATAAAATCATATTATTTTCTTTTTCAGGATCCAGTGAAAGATGGTGAGGCAAAGATTAAGGCCGACTATGCACAGCTTCTTGAAGATATGCAGAATGCATTCCGTAGCCTTGAAGATTAGACTGTGATTTCTTCCCTCTTCCTCAGCAAGCTCATATGTGTATATTTTCCTGAATTTCTCATCTCACACCCTTTGCTTCCATATTGTGCAGCTTTGTGACTAGTGCCCCTGTGTGTTATTTGTTTTGCTGTTTCTTTGGTAGGTCTTACAAAACAAACATTCCCTTGTTCCAGTGTTCGCAGGGGCTCCCTGGCCTTCAGCTGAAGTGGTGAATGTCGTGCATATGATACACAGGCTACGCTACTGTAAACTTGTATGTAAAGTGGCTCTCCGTCCCCTCATCTCCATTAAACTGTAACCAGGACTACTACACGGACTCTGTTGGGAATGGAAGGCCAGATCTCTGTACCAGTGGTAGGTACTTAGGAAATGACTCTGCATTTGTAGTCAGACCACTAGCGTTTTGTTGAGTGACCGTTTTTGCAGGAAATATTTCCACTTAAAAACATAAGATTAATGTTCCAATTATTTGTAGCTTCCCCAGTATCAATCAGGACCATTTATGGGGCACTTGGGAACTATTTTGTTTTTTATAACAGGAATTTGCAAGGCTGAGCATATGGATAAACCAGTTTCCTCTGAAAATATGAAAGAAAGAAAAAAGAGCCAGGTGGTCAAACTTAAATTAACATCATCTTGCTAAAGCATATTGTATTCCACTAAGAGAAATTCAATATCAAGGAGTTTTGTGTACTCAATTACTAGGAATTTTTTAAGTACAATTTTAAAAATCATTGAATATGTGATCCACATCATAGCTATTCTTTTCCTTGAACTCAGGCAGAAGAGCTTCTCAGAGTGGCAGTGGAGTGGGAATTAGAATGCCACAGAGAAACACAGTAGTGCTTATGGGCAGGTTGCCCCTGTGAGAACCAGCTGCTGTAGATTTTGGGGCCAGAGCGGCATTGTTTTCACAGGTACATGTGTCATATGTTTGTTTGCTTGTTGAAATTCTGAGAGCAACAAGTTTACCAATTACAGAAAATATTAGTTTTATGTGTTTTCTTGTTCACTGACTCAGAGAGCTTCTTAAAGTATCTGGTCATAGCAGCATGACCATTTCCATTCTGTTGATAGAGATGAACATTATTCTTGCTAACAAAACTGGGTCATAGAAGAAAAGAGCAATTTTGTCTCACCGTTTCAGTATGTTTAAATAATAATTTCCATGTTTGCATAATAAGGCACATTTCTGCGAGTTTGGAGAGCGAGCTCCCTATTCGCTCTCTGGCTGATAGTGCTGGCACCATGCTTCCTCTTCAAGAGGGGAAAAGGGTATTGGAACATGCCTAACACACTCAAGTACACAAGTGTAATAACGTGAAGTATTTATTTTAAGCCTCGGTATGTTATTTAAATTATTAGGTGGCACATTTCTTTTGGTCTTTTGGGTAGACATAGTCAGATACAGTTCAGACGTGACGTGTAAATCCTTGCTAGTGCATGTCTTTACACAGTGGACTGCTCTTCAGGAAGGATATTCTTCCATGTAACATTTTAAAAACTATTAAACAATATTGGCAGATCTGGAGTATGCAATGACTTACTGAGATGTGGATTAATGGTGCTGCTTAATCAGTTTGCTTCCAATGTGGCTTCGTATCCAGAGGCCATGACTAGTGGAAATGAAAAAGATTTCGAAAACCTTCTACTTATACCTACCAGCAAACTAGGCTTGTGATCAGAATGAATGATCCAAAGAAACTACTTGACCAAGTTTGTTTTTTGTTGTCCTGGAGTTGAGATGTGCGTTCTTCCTGCTTTTAAGAATGTTGATGTATGAGTGTGAAGAAGCTAGAGAAATGATGCTCAGATTTTCACTGTAACCTTCCCTAACCCACATTGTAAAGTTTCAAATTGTTCACTCATAGTGTTTCTTTAGTAAGAATGTGTTAAAATACAGCAGTCTTTTTAAAAGATTATGCAGTTCTCTATTTATTGTGCTGTGCCTGGTCCTGAGTGCAGCCAGTTAAACAAGTTTCGTATGTATTTTTCCAGTGTTAAATCTCACACCTGTACCCTTTGGAAACTTCCATCCTGAACAATGAATAGAAGAGTTCATATAAATTGCCTCTTTATCCTTAAGATTTCACTATCTATGTTAAGAGTAATGTATAATTATTAAAATCTATGAAAAATAAAAAGTGGATTTAAATTAACTTTTCTTTCTTTTTTGTGGGAAGGAGGGGCAAAATTTCTTAGAAAACATTTCACCTTGTATTTTGACTTAATGTTACAGTATGTCCTTTTGAAATGTTTTACTTTATAGACTACTTGCATCGTGAAGTTGGAATGTGTCATTTAGAAGTCCGCCCAGCAGCACACAGTGGTTGGGGAGTAGAGTGCAGCGTTTTCTGACTCTCCCTTTCTGAAATGGTAGACTGTGACATTAAATAGCAGGGTCTTCCAGCAGACTCTTAGCCCGGTGTCACAGCGCACACTGGGTAGAACCACACTGTGCATGATCTTACCCCATTGTGAGTGAGTGTTTTTTCAAAATTAGAGGTGATTTTTGCTGCTCATTTCAATTTTTGTCAATTGCAAGACTTAGTTCAGATAAATATATATTTGGGAGTCCTTAGATTGGCTTCCATGGTTAGATATGCATAGCCCAACAGTGGCAATCTACATGCTCAGAGGTTAAGAGCACTGGCTGCTCTTCCAAAGGTCCTGAGTTCAATTCCCAGCAACCATATGGTGGCTCATGACCATCTGTAATGATATCTGGTGCCCTCTTCTGGCATGTAGACACATGCAGGTAGAACATTGTACACATAATAAATAAGTAAATAAATAAATCTTTAAAAGAAAAAAGAGGGGCTGATGGAACCTCAAGCATTCTTGTGGAAAGGCTGCCGCAGCTGTCATCTATGAGTGATGGCGACAGGAGCAGACATTCAGAAAGGGAGGGTCTACACTAGCTGGCTTCTTCCTCCTCCCTTTGTTCCACCAAGTCCCTAACGTTGGATGATGCCAACCACGTTTAAGGTCGGCCCTTCCCTCTTAGTTTGTACACTAACCATCTCTGGAAATGGCTGCAGACACATCAAGAAATGTACTTCAGTAGGTATCTGTCAGCCTGTGTGTTAGAATTCTCAGGGAACAGAGTATATATAAAGAGGGGTTATTGGATTGGTTTATGCAGTGTGCACTGAGTAGTCCAAAAATGGCTTACACTGGATATGCCTGGAATCCGGTGACTGCTCAGTTCACAGGCTACAGCCTTAGCACAGTCTGGTGCTGAAGGTCCAAAGGATTGCTGAAGAGCCACTAGTCTTGGGTCATGTTGGAAGCCAAGGAGACTGGGTTCTGGTATCAGTGAAGAATGGTAGCAGCAGTGACAATAGCAACAGCAGAGTAGATTAATTCGCCTGTACAACATGAAAGCAAGCAGGAAAAAAAGCAAGTCTTTCCCATGGGCCTCTTTATACCTGGGTCACCACTGGAAGGTACTGACCAGACAAGTTAATGAAACCAAGAAAATCTCTTGGGCGTGTTCAGATACTTGACTCTTAGTTGATTCTAGACCATTCAAATTGGCAGTCAAGGTTAATCATTACACAGGGTGTCATTCAGTAGGGTTCTCTAGAGAAAGAGCTGGCTTAGGGATTTGTTGCTGTGAAAAGATCATGACCAAGGCAACTCTTAAAAAGGAAAACATTTAATTGGGTGCGGCTTACAATTTAGAGGGAAGCATGGTGGCATGTAGGCATGCTGGAGAATCTAGAGTTCTACATCTGGGTCCACAGGCAGCAGGAAAAGACCCAGCTTGAGCTTCTGAGATCTCAAAGCCTGTCCCCTAGTGATGCACCTTTTAACAAAACCACACCTACTCTATCTAGGCCAAACCTCCTAATAGTGGCACTCCCTGTGAGCCTATGGAAGCCATTTTTATCAAACCAACACAAGAACTGATAGAATATATACATGGAACTTATTAGTTTACAGAATGTTTCAATAAAGGCTGTCTCCCAGTGGAAAGTCCAAGAATATAGTAGTTGTTCAGTCCATGAGGCTAGATGCCTCAGCTAGTGTTAAATATCCCCTGGAATCTTGAAGGAGGCTCTACTACCAATGAAGGAGTGAACTTGAGAGTTAGGGCAAGCAGGCAGAGTAAGCACTTCCTTCTATCGAGTCCTTTCGATAGGCTGCCACCAAAAGGGTGACCTGCATTTAAGGTGGATTTTCCCACAAATGATTCAGTCAAGAAAAACTCACAGGTATTTCCAGCCACTTGCCACTTGCATTTTAGTTAATTCCAGATGTAGTTTCATTGATAACCATCACATTAGGATATATTTTATTTCTTGAACATGGCAGTTTTTTGGTTTTTTTTTTTTTTAACAGTTTCCAAAGAAATGAAGCAACATGGAATGAACAACATGGACCAAATTTACAGAGAGGAATACTTAGAAATCCATAAGAAGGCTTATTCATTACAGAGTGGGTTGTTTTTAGTGTGCTAGGTAATATCCCAGTGTCTTCAGCATATTAATATTTTGATTTTATTGCAACAATCATAAGAGCACAAATGAAGAAACCAGTTTTTTCAAGTGAATAGTGAAATGATACTGAAGTTGTCCTAAGAGTTAGTTTCCTTTGGAAGCTGACTCTGAAAAAAGTATATTTAGCTTCTGGAAACACCAGTTAGGGGGCAGCGAGGGGCACAAAATGGGGATGGAATAGAAAGAAGCTAATAAAAGTCATCATCGCCAGGCATTTCAGCACTCAGGAGGGAGAGGCAGGCAGAGCTTGGTGAGTTCTAGGCCACCATGTTCTACAGAGTGAGTACCAGGATAGCCAGGGCTACGTAGAGAAACCCTGTCTCTACAGATCAAAAAATAACCAGCCTGTGGGACACCATGCTCCTAGGGAATTCTGGGAACTAGAGGAGGATACACATCTCAGTTATGCACCAAGTGTACAAGGAGGCAGAGCACACATCAGTCAGTGACAGCCAGCCCTGCTCTTTCCCCACCCATGCTTTCGGCCTGCGGCCTGCGACTGACCTGCAGTCTGTGGACCCTGATGAGAACACGCTCAGAGACAGGCTTCATTGAGACAGCTCCTTTAAGGGGGGAATTAAGGCTACTTAAACCTTTGGGGGGGTGGGTAGGGGCTTTAGGGTAAGTTTACATCATTGGCTGGAGCAGGGCACTGGGGGCGCCTCATTTGCATAAGGAGGAATTCCTGGTGCTACTGAACAGGATCTTACAAGGGGAAAGGAAGTTTAACCTGGGCACCAGGCTGCGTGACCTCCTCAGGGCAGTGAGGAAGTGGGGTACAGGGCTAAGTGTGCACTGGGACACGCAGGCCCAGGGCAGGAATGGAGCAATCCTACTACTGATCTGAGGATGCGATTTCTGGGGTTTGGACACATCTCAACCCACTCTTATTCCTGCTTTTTGCCAATCTTCCGCTGAAAGTCATTGCCACAAAGACATAAAAGAATCACTGCTTAGAACATGTATCGTCACACAAATACAGAAATGAGACTGAACACGACGGGCATGACTCCACAACCATAACATTTAAAGAAGCTGGGAAAAAAAATAAATTATATATATATATATAACCAATTTATTTATAAATTCAAGCCCCAAATTTGAGGTCAGGACAGCAGCTGCATGCACTGAGAAAAGAGAGAAATAACAGAACCATCTCAAAGAGGGCTTCGGGGTGTTAGTGATACTCTGGGTCCTGCAGGCACATGTGTGTTAGCTCTGCTACGTGTGCTTAAACTTTACCCATCCAAATATATGGTTTTGTGATTCCATATTAATTAGAATAACACATTCAAGTAATATTATAGCTTGTGTTAACGTAGTTAGGAATATATATATATGTATATACCTATATGTTTGGAACAATGTATGAAAAAAGGAGCCATGAATTTTAAGAAGCAAAAGGGGTGTTTAGAGGGATGAGAGGGAAGGGAGAGATGGTGTAATTATAATCTCCAATAATAAAGAATTTTAAAAACTGATTTAAAAAAAAAACACAACTCAAGTCTTTGCGTGTATGTTATACTGTTAGGGTCTGAGAACCCAGACTCAGGTAATATGCAGAAGTTTCCAGCATGCTGGGGTCCCCATCGTAGCAAATGTCTACCCAGAAGGGAGCTCATAGGCTCAATTTCAAGGCTTTGCCAGTGTTGGTGAGGTAACCTTTAAGCTGATTGTCTAGTAGGGGATATGGGAGTATTTAGGATTGGCTAGGACTTCAGTCAGGAGTTACGGGCTTTCTGAACCAGCCCAAACCAGTTCAAGTTGGTAGTTGAGCAGCCTTGAGCAACCTTATCTTCCCCAGGCTAGATGTCCTGACAGTTCCTGATTGGTTTCCCATTCTCTGCCGTTTTCTTGTAACTGATATCTCATTTCTGAGGAATGCAGACTCAGGCCTGCTTTGCCTAGCAAGAAACCAAAGCCTGTCATGGAATCAGGATAACCAACTGGCTCGATAAATCTGTCCCAGCTTATCCAAACATTTACCAGGCGTAATCAGAATAGATCAGGGTTGTCTGGAATGGCATGCCAGGAGACCCCAGACCCCTCAGCAATGTAATCTCTATTGGGATTGGCTACATAACTCTGGATTGACTGGCTCCTTAGAATTAAGTCCTCTCAACACTTCAGCAAGTTTACTTTAAAAAAAAAAATGGTCATAATTATGACTAGGGAATTTCAAGTATTTAAATTCATTTTACCCTATGAAACATCAGATTTAAAACTATGATTAGCAGATAAACTGTGATTAACGTGGCAGATAAGAGTACTTTTTGCTCTTGCAGAGGGACTGTTTGATTTCCAGCATCCACATGGGTGATGCATAACCATCCAAAACTCCATTTCTAGAGGAGCCAGTGCTCTCTTCTTACTTTCTCAAGTACCAGCCACACACATCATACACAAAATCACATGTGCAGGTAAAATCACACTCAGAAATAGGTCCAGGGCTTGGAGCTCAGAGGTTAAAAGCAACCCAGCAACCACATGGTGGCTCATGACCATCTGTAATGAGATCTGGTGCCCTCTTCTGGCCTGCAAGTACACATGCAGGCAGAATACTCCATAAACAAATAAATAAACCTAAAAAAAAAAAAAAAAAAGAAAGAATAGGCCTCCCCCAAAAAACAACAAAATAAAATATACTATCAGAG